CAGAAAGAGGATGAAAATGACAAGAAACATAATATTTTCCCACTGACTCATTCACTGACTCACTCACCGATTACAATAATAATCTTTGCATTTGACATAAAGCGTTGATGAGACTTCTTAAAGCACTTCACAGAATATACCGTAAAGTGAATTGACTGTACATTTTGTTGGCGAAATTCTCTGACTCACTGAATACTCACTCACTCACTCACTCACTCACTCACTCACTCACTCACTCACTCATTTGAATCAATGGCTCTTAAAGATATTTTCTTGAAACATTTTAGATGAGTTAGAGGTATTCGAGGCTCTGTTAACAATGCAAGAAATTGACCAGCACTCGACGTTGGTGGACAGAGTTTCACACATGCAATAATAATAATAATAATAATAATATGGTCACTCAATCCACAACTGTTTGTGGGTCACTGTTGTGCGCAATTGGCTGCCGCGTTTCGCCCCCAAAATATACACTCAATTCACTTTACAGTATACGCTGTGAAGCGCTTTGAGACGTCTCGACGACTGGATAAGACACTATATCAAATGCGCGGACTGTTATTTTTATTAGTAGTCAGTATTATGCACTCAGATGCAAACATACACAGGGGGCTGTGCTGCTAACACTGGGTAGAGCAACGCAGGAGTAGCGGTTAGACCTCCAGTCTGACGGCTTGCAAGTCCCCGACTGCAGACAGCCTGTCCGAATGATGCCAGCAGCACGCACGCACCATGAGATGCACCATCCTGACATTTCTCTCCCATGACTCACAGGTTAACTAACCCTCCTGGCCTTCCTCTCCCCCCCCCTACCATCCCCGAGTCAATCCATTTCAAATTCATCCCACATTTCATGCCTGGTGCGACTGTCTGACAGTGACGCCACATTGCGTGCAGCAAGGAGAAGGATTTACAGCGGGGAGCTGCATTTATACTCCAATGAGCCCCAAGTGTGTTGTGCGTGCGTACATGTGTCTAACTTGCCTGTAATGCCTCCCACGGACAAGCAGCCCAGAGACACGCACTGGAGAGGCTATATATGTGAATAATGGGTACTCTAATAACCTCTTTTTCTCACGGGTATATACTGCAAAGTGAATTGACTGCATAATGTGTGGAGAGGAACCCACCACCTTATGCCCGAATCCCAACCAAACAACCGGGAAGGGGACAAGATGAGCCAGTGGAACATTACGGTTGATCATATGCATGGGTTGACTGTTTGAACAGCACGGCACTGACGAGGTGCCAAATCGTTGCTTGGCTGGAGGCGCAGTGAATCAGAGTGCAATCGACACCGGTATCCTCCTGCAAGATGAGACGCTCCTGTTTCTAAGAGTTTTTAAGTACGCCAACGCGAAAAACGGCCCCTCTAATCAACAAATACGCAGGGATTCGAAACTCGTTTGTCACAGCGAGCAGATATTCTATTTATAGCTCTTTACATATAAATCCAGGGGAGTAGCCTCGGGCAGCTCAGAGCCTACGGATTCCTGTCAGTAAGCTGCCTAAACGTCATTCCATTGTCAATCGGTGAAGCCAGGAGTAATCTCTTCCCCTCCGCCTCCTCTGGCGGAGGTGTATTGTGTTCCCTTCTCCCCCGACTGGGTTCCCATCACTGTTTTGCCTAAGTGGCCAGCGTTCATGTGCAAACCGTGCCCCCCACCATCCCCACCATCGGCAGGAGAGTGATGTTCTGTCACCCATCTCTGGAATGCTATCCCGGGGGACCCTCCGCCTCCGTCCCTCCATCCCTCCCCACCTTTAAAGCCCACCTTAAGATCTATCTATCTACAAATTGGCTGCCCCATTCTCCTACAAAATGCACAGTCACTTTGCGTTACAGTAAATCCTGTGAAGCGCTTTGAGACATCAACAACAACAAGATTTCGTTTATAGAGCACCTTTCACGTCGGGAGGACGTCCCAAGGCGCTGAAAGGCCTGACATGAAAGGCGCTGTACCAAATGCAAGGATTATTATTGTTATCGTTTCTATGTTACGCAGTATGGTTTCTATGTTACGCAGTATAACAACACTGATTTGGCAAGGCTTTTGTGGGGATTGGGGGGTGGGGGTGCGTAAGCGTGCTAAATATGAGTCAATAAAAACTAGAGGAGCAGCTGGTTCTGGGCGCATCTTGTGTCCCTTTGTTCTCCTCTGCCCCTCATTCCCGTTCAGGATTCCCCAGGGAAGCTCAGCGCTGTCTATTTAAACCCCAAGGCTGCTGTTTGCTTCCTCTGGGACCAACTCAAGTAACCTCCAGCCTCGTGAAAGCTAACTAAAAATAGTGCAGCACAGCACAGAGAGAGAAGTCGGCCTGCCCCCATTCGCAGCTAATTTTCGGTCCAAACCCGGTGACGCTAGTCTCACACAGCAACTGGGTACATACAGCAGTGCAGTGCGTACTGCAGTTCAATGTGATCAGGAGACACGATGCACGGAACAAAATCTGTCAGACACTTAGGGTTTGGAGTCAGCAATACAGTGCAAATCGGGAATGCAGCAATCGCCCACACAGTGACTACACTTTACAGTAAACCATGGCAATCCCTTTGAGATGTTGTCCCGACGTGAAAGGCGCTATTTCAAGTCATTATTATTATTAATAATAAGGATTCTCGAGCGCATACAGACAGGACAATCAGCTGCAACAGACCCTCTATTATCCTAAAGCATCAAATAGATTTGTACACGTAGCATTACTGATGTGGCTATCCCAAGTGACTACAATGTGGAAAATAAGGAACTAGAGAAAATCAGGAAACACCGTATATTGATCTATAAATTGAACGCAGACCTATGTAAAATAAACAGTTCCTATAATCATTGGTGTAACTGGGACTTTTAATTAGACTATTCAAAATTAACTTGACAGAATACCTGGTGAACAAACTATCAACCTCTTACAAAAAGCAGCTATTTTTGGAAGCTCAAACATACCAAGAAAAGTAACATATATTTATATGTAACCTGGCAGCGTTATTAGTCTGGCTGACCATCACTGAACACCATTTAGAAATCACCTCTAAAGAGTGACTTAAACTGTAATAACATAATAATAATAATTATGGTTAAATTTCATGATGTTTAAACCCAGAGACAAACCACACATTTCTTATGTATTTTCACGCCAGGGGAACAACTCAAAGCACTTCACAGGGTTTACTGTAAAAGTGCAGTGACTGTGTATTTTGGGAGTGAACGCAATATCCCAGATCTGTCTGAGGCATTTCTTGTATGGGTGGTCCAACCCACGGATGGCTGACACAATCCCAGCCAGAAACAAACAGGGACTGAGCCCAAGGCGAGATCACAACATGGATTAATTCACCAGAGAAGGAGCCTGATCCCTGGTAACTTGGTATTTGTCAGTAACGCCGAGTTAAAGAGGGCAGAGAACCGAGGCAAGGCAGAAGGATAACCTGTCCGTGGGAATTATATTCCTGTTCAGTGAACGCGGACCTAGGGCACAGGTTTAAATTCTGTATTATACCACCAGTCAGGTTTAATCTGGTTGATAGGGAGTCAAACCAACTTAGTTGCAATACAATACCCTGGCCTTGAAATAGAGAGTGGCCCCGAATGTTTTGTGTAACGACCGAGAAGTTATCTGATGTGAAGGGCGCTGTGTAAATGAAAATTGTTGTTGTCGTTTTTGAATACGAGCGAAACTCCACTCTGGCTATATGTCATGAGACGGTTGCAACTGAACTTGCAGCAGAGAATGAAGGTTAGCCCTGTACCTGTGTGATGGAAGTAGACTTTGAGTAACAATAATACTGATAACCTTCGCATTCGGTACAGTTCCTATTATAGGGAATTGGATTGGGTTAACCCCAACCACCCCACCGCCCCTACTATAAAGCGTTTAAGCCAATATGATGGATATTCAGGGGTGTAGTCTTTCGGATGAAACGTTAAACCGAGGTCCCGCCTGCCTGTTCAGGTGGATATTAAAAACCCCATGGAACTGTTCAAAAGGAAAAGGGAGTTTCTCCCAGTTGTCCCAGGCGACAATCCCCTCAGGTAAAATAACTGATCATTCACCTCATTGACTGTTTCCCCTACCCTCCACCCCTCCTGATTCCAACCCCCAGCTCAAATCCCTGACTGCCCAGTGCCTTGGGACGTCCTCCCAACGTGAAAGGCGCTGTGTAAATGTAATTTGTTGTTGTTGTTTGTAGGACATTGCTGTGCGGTAAACCAGCTGCAGCGATCGCCTGCAAAATAGTCACTGCACTTTACAGTAAAACCCTGTGATGTTTCGACAGCGTGATAAGGCTCTGTATCAAATGTAAGGATTATTATTAGTGTTGCAGCAGTAATATTGGACGATGGGAAGAGTCTGGGACACATGTAGGAAGCCTTGAATAGAGGGCAGATTCTCTCATGAATGATGGCTCGTTGCAAGGGAAGTGACTCAGAAGAATTCAGTGGAATAAAGCCACGTGCCAATTTCTGTGTGTGGTTTAGGAGGAAGCAGACGGAGTGGGGGGAGAGAGAGAGAGCGAGAGAGAGAGAGAGGGAAAGAAGGAAGGAAAAAAAAAGTCAAACATGATTTAAATTCAATAAAAGGCGGAGGAATATCGCTTTTATATACACAGACTCCCATTGTACAGCCGTCCGTCCCTCTCTGAATTTCTAACTCAGGTTCAGAATGAAATATGATTAAACTGGGAGTTGTTAACAGTTACCAGCAGCTCGGTAATCCAGAGAACAGCTGGATTGCTGAATCTCAGAATCTTTGTTAATCGTTTTAGAAGGTTAGATTCTTGAATGGGGTTATTCCTTGCAATAGCTCAAACCGTCACCACCACCACCCCCCACATTCAACCGGAGATCATGTTTTTTTTAATTTTCCTTTCAGATTGTTAAAGAGGGATTGTAGCATCTCTCCCTCTCTCTGCTTTTCACATTAAATTCCTTGCATCTCACAGACCCTTTGGATTTAGACGTCATAGCCAATCACTCGCTCAGCAAGCCCCAGTCTCTCTGGTGTGTGTGTGTGTAAAAAAGCTCAGAACTGAGTCATTTTAGGATCAGTCTGCCTCTAACCTAAACCAGTGGGGGTTTTTTTCCTCTCTTTCTATCTCTCTCCCTCTCTCTTTCCTGCCCTCCTCTCCTCCACTGGTCTGTGTGCACCAAGCAATGAACAAACAGAAGGGTTGAAGTTGCCCGCAACTCAGAAGTTGTGGAACTAAACAGAACTGACAAACAGACAGACAAACAGACAAACATGGATTCAGAGCCAGGGGAGCTGAGCGAAGGAGACCTTTCCCCAGGTAAGAAGAGAGCTGTATCTGATAACAGAAAGCACTCTGCGTGTGTGGTGTGTGTGTGAAAGTTCAACGACCAATAGCTAGGATGGTCTAGATTGCTACCTGTGGCGTTAGCCTTGAAGGAGGATGCTTTGTGTGTGTGTCAGTGGCTAACCATCTGTGTCTATTTCTATGAAAGCCCACGTATGTTAGGTTATGTCGTGTTACATTGCCGGAGTTTCTGTTTTAAACGCTGCGGACAGAGAGAGAGAAAAAGAAAATCAGCTTCCTCCAGAGGTGAAATACCACTTCCAATAAAGTCGGTGATGTTGCAGAGATTTCTCTCTCTCTACCTCTCTGTCTTTCTCGTTTCCCACCCTGTGATTACCATTTTATTTACACCGTTAATTGAAGGACTTCCAGATCAGCTGAAATATAGAGTCACAGCCCAGTTCACTGCAAAAGGGAACGTGTGAGCTAACTTGATCGACTCTGGTGCACATCTGGGTTTTAAATAGAAAGTTATATATACTGCATATAAATTTATATATATATATATTCCACCCCCCACAAAAAAAATTAACATCTCAGTTTGGAAATGTGCCAACTGCTCCACACTATTTCCTCTCTGGTTAACCCAAGGGAATTGGAATCATTTTAACCCAGACATCAAAGGCTGAACCTCTGAACATCTGTATGTAAACTCTGGCTCACAATCACAGGACAATGAGAATGTGAGTGCCTTTAGAGCAACATCTCTGCATCTCCCCCTCCCCACACACACACACTCTATTCTGTACAATGCTGTCCCCTCCATCCCAGCTCTTAGGAGGAATGGGGGGGGGTGCGGTGGGGTTGGGATTGGGAGACTAGGATATTCAGATTGTTAATGTCTCTCCTTCCTTTTCCTAAGGAAGTGGCAAACCAAAATGTTAGCATCCAACTCCACTCTGCGTTAATGCTCATCTACCAGAGGTGATGCCTATTTCTGGCTTATTGTGCTCCAGTGAGCGAGTGACTGTGCTATAATAATACATAACATACTTGTTTGTGGCACACTGCTGTGCGCAATTGGCTGCCGTGTTTCGCCCACAAAATATACAGTCACTGCACTTTATTCTGTGAAGCGCTTTGAGACGTCTCGAAGACGGAATAAGGCAGTATATCAAATGCGAGGATTATTATCTAACTGTTGCCTCTGAAGTCCGTGACAGTAGCAGAAACCGATGCAATAAGTGACAGCTATGAGGTGAATAAACAATGAATGTGGAGGGTGGTTAACCAGGACACTGGGAGAAACTTCTCAAATAGTGTCAGGAGATCTTTAACTTCCACCTGACAAGATCTGATCACTAGATACAATGTTCTCTCTCTCCCTAACTATCAACAAGGGGATGCTGCTCCGCTGTATAGACTTTGCAGAAATGTTTATTGATTTTAGCCAAATCCATCATCTCTACATTGGACCCTCTCCAAGGCCCCCATTCCAGTGATGTTTGGTGCTGGCAAGCCACAGCCCGGACCTCGTTCGGCCTCTGTGGGATTCATTTGGATGTAAATAATGTGCAGTGGTTCAGAAGAAACATCTGGAGATGTTGTTGAACGCTGGGATGAGTTAGGTAGCCTGAATGCATTGTTTGAAGGATAGTGCTTGCACACAAACAATAATGTGGGGGGAGGTCCAAGTTCTATTCCCCCGTTATGACATTACTGAGCAGGTTGACCAATTGTGTGCTGAATTGTCAGCAGTGTTGGGACGTGGGCTGACCCTCACCGGGAACTGGAAGGAAAGTTTCCCAAACTAACTTAACAACGCACCCTCAGGGCTATACTTTCATCCCATCAATCTGGACTTTAAATCACAGTCTTGGATTCAAAACCACTGAATCACCCATTCGCCCCATGTTGCAACAACCATATGCCCAGGGATCAACTGCTTAACCCATCTAACAAGCACCGGATTATTAATCCCAACAACAATAAATTACATTTATATGGCACCTTTCACATCGGAAGGACATCCCACATTCCATTTGGAAATTCAACAGGACCGGATTTACCAAAGTGGGATTGTTGATCAGGTTATCTATTCAATAACTGGCTGTAAAAAAAGTTAAAAAGGGGTTAAAATAGGAACTCGTCTCATCTGTGAATGTTGACTGAAGTGCAGAGAGCAGTGTTGCATTGCATTACCGTGCGGTTACTTTACATTGGTCGCATATTGTGAGTCCACATTCCAGACTCAGATTGGCGGGTGGGTGGGGTAGAGTAGACTTTAAGGTTGTCTTTGTATCCTCAGAACTTGAATTGCTCTTTTGCTAGTGCTCAGGGGATTGCCTATCGCTGGGGTTTTAACCTAAATTAGAGGGGAGTAAATAGAAATGTGTGTGGGTGTGTGGTGGTTGGGGGGGGGGGGGGGGCGGAGAGAGGGGATTACACAAATGCAACCATTTAAATCCAACATGTGACTTTTTTTAAAATATAATTTTAGGCCCCAGAAGATAACTTACAATAGTTAGTGACAGAGCTGGATTAGCTAACAAGACAGGTTTAGTGCGTGTGCAGATTAATCCTACATTCCATGTTGAAATTCAATGCAAAACGATTTACCAAAGTGGGAGTATTGATGGGATTATCCAGTCAATAGATAATCTATCATGTACTTTGATAGAAAGGGGCCAGCATGACGCTGAACCTAATTTTGCATTTTGGCAGTAAACACAGTAAAATGTGTAGCATGAGTAATCTAAAGACAACAGGGTTTTTTTTTTTTTTTTTTGCAGCTGAAGACTTCAGCAAACTGGAATCAATTCAACCAGCGTGCACAAAGCTTTTGATTTGCATGCCAGGCATGGAGCACAGCTACTTTACCCAGTCTCTGTCTCTCTCCCCCAAATAACCAGGTTACAAAACAAAGCAGCCGGGGAGGGTGCTGGAGATGAAATGCATAATTTGAGAACAGCGAGGGTCCAGACTTCAATGTTGCAGTCCAGGCGGAAATCCAGTGCTCTGTTACTGGGTGGGTGGGGGGTAAGGGGGAGAGAAATGCCACCATGTCAGAGCTACTGTCCTTCGGATGAGATTCTCAACTCAGGTGCCACCTGCCTACTCAGGGGGATTTTAATAGATTCTGTGACGCTGTTTAAAAGGAAGGAATTTCTCTCGGTGTCCTGGTCAACAGCCTTCGACTGATTTACCAGGTTGTTCTCCTCATGGCTGTTTCTAGGACGTTGCTGAACGTAAACAGGCCCTCGAGAAGTACGCAGTCACTACACTTGATAAGACGTGAAGCTCTTTAGGCTCCGTTTCAAACGCAAGGTTTATTATTATGTGACAGAGATGGATGGGAAAAGCGCATCACTTTCACGCAGTCTCTGTAACAAGCACATTCCTACGTCTCTGTCAAGCCTGAGTCCATCATAATCGCCCATTGCCCTGTTCATCCGCTCAAATATTTCCTTATCAGTTATTTATTTTTCAAACAGAAAAGACTGGGTTTCTGAACGTGGGTTACTCAGAACCTAATCCAAACATTTGGGATGCTTTGCGTGAAGAAAGGAGATTCAGACTTGTAGCCGGACAGCATTAAGACGCAGGAATTTGGCTGAAATACAGTGGAAAATATTATTCAAACTCATTGCTTGGGCCAAGTGCCACCTTTTTGCAGGATTCAGTTGGGAGTTTTGGCCTGTGGTCAATTGAGACACTGTAGTGCCTTTGACTGGTTGGGAAGGTAAAAGGGGAGATGGTGGCAATAGAAATGTGTGTGTTGTTTTTGCCTAAATCTGAAGTCTATCGGCAGAGAGTGTTCCTAATGGCAAATTGCTGATACTCTCGTTTCTCACTCTTAAAGGATTGCATGTGGACGCAATCCAATTTAAAAACTCAACCAGACGTAAAGGATTCTCGTTGAGTTTTCATTTTACTTTTCTGTCATTCTCACTTGATATTCAAAAGTGTCTCTTTTTAAAAAAAATGATGACGACCTCAGCGGCGAGGGGGCGAAAGGGGCGGAGTGGGGGGTAGGAATAGAGAGAGGAGAGGGAGGGGATTGCCTTGGAGGAGTTATTGAGCCTGACAAAGTGAAGAAACCAATATTAATACCAACAGTGAGAGAGAGAGAGACAGACAGACAGACAGACTCAGTAAAGCAAAGCCACTTCAGATTCGATTAACTCAGCTGTCAGACTCAGGACTTCCTCCAAGGTAAATGTCCCCCGCTCACCGTTCAAAGAGAAATAATCCTTTTAAAAAAGGAAGATGAAACGATACACAAGCTATGCTGAAATCACTGGCAATTCGCAGAATTACGTGGAATTTTCACCCCTTGTGGGAACAATGTCAGGTCGGTTGAGCAGGTCCCAGTTGTCCGGCAGGAAAGCTTGTCGCAATCACGCACTCCAGGGGAATTATTAAACCGTTTGCTTTAAGCTGAAGTGGAATTTCAAAAACATCCCCAATTAGCGCCGAGGCGGCTTTGAATTCGAGCAAAGAAACATTGCTATGACGATCCTCATCGAAAGACTTTAGCGAGTCGGGGATGAAAGGATTTTTATTTTACCGATTTTCCCAGACATTCACACCGTTAGCCTGGAGACAACAACTGCTCCAAGTGCTACAATCGATACTGTTTTGGTGCGTGAGCAGCTAAAAGTTTGAAGACCAATGAGTTCATTGGGAATATGCAGTCCAGTGGATATTAAAAAAGCGCTGGATATCAAAGAAAACAATTCAATTGAGAATTTTTTTTATATATAAATATATATATATATAAATTATATATAAATCCTTGGGAGTCCTGGAGGGGAGCAGATAGCGCACTCGCCTCACCAGTGAGAGGGATCCAGCTTCGATTCCCAGGTGGAACGAAACCTTCAGCAAGTGTCCTTGCTCTACACACCTGTTTACCTGGCAGTAAGTAGGGATCCTGTAACGCTTTGAATGATCTGTACTCAGGCATGGCTGGTACGCAGATGATAAGCAAAGCTGTCATATTTACACCAGTGAAACCCAAGGTGTCAATT